CACCTTTACTGTGTATTGACTCTCCTAAAGATGAATAATCTACTAAAAATAAATAAATAAAACAGACGATCCCAGTGACAGCATGCAAGCAGCCAGAGACCTGGAAAGAATGGGGAGGAACAGATTGAAGAAATGAAGCTGGCAAGGAACAGGAGGATGTGGGTTGGACAGGGGCTAGCAGCTGCAGAAGCATTTCCGTCAACTGACTGAATAACATCTTGGCTATGGGACAAACTGAGCATCATGAGGCAGGGGAAAAAAAAAAACCTCCGGTGCTTCCCATCTTCAATCCTCCAACTACCAAAAGCCAGACAGAGGCCAAGAACATCAATAATACCTCCACCCAAACCTCATCCCTTTATACTCTGTCTCTGCCGGATCTGGCTTTTCGAGCCAGACCAGATATCGGATTGACGGCCCGCTAGATGGAAAACTAAATAAGTCGTCTGGGAGAAGTGAAATGTGCAATTCCTGTGAGGGGGAAAAAAATAGAAGGGTGGGTGTGCTGCTGCTGTGCAGAGAGAAAGCAGCATTTTTTTTATTATGATAAGCTGAAGACTTGTCACTCTGAAGAAACATCCCAATGTTGATGGGGTGGAATAACGCACACAGCTACAATTGCCTGTTAAGTGGTAGTTGATCATTTAATAGGTTATGTGCAGAACCAATGGAAAACATTGGTAGGATTTTACACAGACTAGGAAGTTAAAAGCTGAACTCCAGGCACAAAACTCATTTGTATGTATTCTCAATCGCCACAAAAGGATATACGTTCACTTTGTGCGCATTGAACACTTTTGGAAACCTACTTATTACCTTGTAAATGTGAAAGTGGCATCCTGTGCAGAGGGCAGAGATGTGGGAGCGACCTAGTAGGCCCACTAACTACAGGCTGCCTGCAGAAAACTAAGCAATTGATAATAATGCTATTACATGACCTAAAAAAATAAGGGTTATCATCATTGCTTAAAGTATATGTCAATCCTCACCTTGTAAAACAACCCATTCAGTTTAAAATGTTTATAAATTATTCACATTCCCTCTGTTCTCCGCTGCATAAAAGCTGGGGGAGGAGAAACAGCAGAACACCGATCTTCCCACTGAATGTGTGAGTGTGAGAGTGTGAGAGTGTGAGAGCGTGAGAGCGTGTGTGTACAGCATAGCTAGACAACTGACTATGGTGTGTTCTCCTGCTTAGTGTGGTCAGTAATTTAATAGAAAATCAGAGTGAATGGCAGGGATTTCACACACAGGAAGCAATACAAAGAGAACAGGATACCTTTTCATACAAGTACATGGTACTGCAGGCACATACCAGGAACATGAAATGTTGGCTTTATATACTCTTAAAGTGAAACTGTAACATGACTGTGCGCACTAAAGTATTCACAAAAAGAAGCCATAACACAAAAGTTTCAAACTGGTGGCCCTCCAGCTGTTGAGAAACTACAAGTCCCATCATGCCTCTGCCTTTGGGAGTCATGATTGTAACTGTCAATCTTGCAATGCCTCATGGGACTTGTAGTTTGGCAACAGCTGGATGGCCGCCAGTTAGACACCCATGCATAACAGTTCTCCGAAACAAGCCACCATTCAAATCTGCAGTCGTATTGAGAAGAAATTCATCTTCAAAGTTAACATCTGATGAACTGAAATCTTCCCTTTTTCCTTATTACTTTTTATTGCAACAGAATATACAGTCTGCCACCCTTCAAATGCAAACACATTACATGTGCATCTAAGCGGTCAGAAAGAAACCCTTGTTTAGGGTCCTTGTTGTTATCTTTGAGTTTCTTTGAGATTAAACTGTGTCATAGTCTGGGCACAAGTGCACTTTAAGAAATAACTGTCATAAGGACGAAAGTACCTAAAGCAGTATTAAACTCTTAAAACAAAAATGTATTTGAGTGCAGCTTACCAATTCTTAGGTGTGATGGCTACATAGGTTTTGTCTTTTTAGGTTTTTCCCTATTTTTTCACCTGGTGATTTGGCCAGTGAGTCTGTTATTTTTCAACTTCATTTAACAAGCCAAGCAGGCCAATAAAGCAGCCCAGATTACGCATTTTTCTTTCCTTCCACCATGGGTGAAAAAAGAAAATTGCTAGATTTCCTCTTCAGCACAATCAAGTGTTGATGGGGGAATACCTCCCGCAGTGCTACTGTATTCTGCTGGTGGGGAGCATTCTCTGTCAACAGAACACAATGATCACTGCTGGCTGCTATAGCCACCAGCAGTGATTGCATGAAAAAAATGCAACAGGTTAGTTGTACTGAAGCCGATCAATGGATCGACTTCAGTACAACCAGCCTGTGCATAGATGGGTTAAATCTAGGCCAGTTCCCGCTGAAGCGGCGGGGGTTCAATCCATCTATGGCTGCCTTAAAAGTGGCAGTTGGAAGGTTGAGACAAACCATTTAAACACAGTTGCGTACAATTGTCAGCTTTTATTCATTTATATAAACCTTTATCCCAAAAGGAAGACACATTTCAACTAATTGGATTTTACAGCTCCCTTCCGCTCCCCATTCTTAAAATGATCTTTCATCCCAAGTTTAATTAGATTTCGTAACTGTCCCATATGGCTCAGGAGCTCCTTCTTTCGAGAGGTCGTGCCTTGTCACATTTCTGTGGGTGGGTGCTACGCTCAGTTTAGCAAAGTCCACTTGCCAGTCTGCTGTGGTGGACTAGCTCTTCCAAATTATTTAGTCCGATATTGGGCTGCCATCTTAGTCAATGTTCGTTGGTGGTTTACAGATTCCAGAGCCAATGCTCTGTTTGGAGGCGGTCTTACTGGGGTCCCTTATGGAACTCAGTAAATCTGGTCTATAGGGGTTCCAGGGCCTATCCTTCCCTTCCACTCCCCACCAGTCACACTTCAGGTGTGATTTAGGCAACCTCATTGTTGGTCTCCATATCATCCTTTATGGGATAATCCTTCTCTTACCCACTTTAAGATGATCCCTGACCCTCAACTCTGGGCAAGGTATAATATCAAAACGGCTGTGGGACATTATGCCCTCTGGTATTCTGCTAACTTTTAAGGAGCTCTCCTCTCAGTTTGGCCTACCCAGATGGATGTATTTCCGCTACTACCAGCAATGTCATGCAGCTCGCTCCCAATTCCCTGCTCTACCCATTTTAAAAACATTCAATTGAGGATCTTATGGCACAGGAGACACTGGACAAGCCATTGTCTAAGCTCTACCTGACACTATGTGTTGAATCTCCTAAGATGGATAAACTGTGGCAGCAGTGGCCAGCAGATGTTCCAACTCTAGATAGGGAGTCTTGGGAGGATAGCTTAGAAAACAGCTCTAGGTTGGTCATATCCTCCTGCGATAAATTGATCCAAATTACATTTTTACACAGGATGTATTACACACCACAGAGGTTGCACAGAATTTATCCGGAGAGCTCCTCCACTTGTGAGGACTTGCGTTCATATGTTTTGGTCCTGCCCTAGGGTAGCCCAGTTCCAGATGGAGGTCTTCAACCTAATAAATACTCGTCTACAACTGTCCCTCCCGTGTACACCTGAATTAGTGCTCCTTGGTATAAAGGATGATGCACAAAGACTTAGGTACACCAAATTGCTATTATTCTATTTATTGTATTATGTCAAGAAGGAAATACTCTTGAAATGGGCCACCTCCCCTCCCACGTTATCCTCCTGGGAATCTACGATAAATGCGGTGTTACCAATGTACAAATTGACTTACATTAATTGGAATTGTCCTAGAAAATATGAAAAAATTTGGCAGCCGTGGACAGAATGCCGAGTGCTTCACTCCTAATAAGGATGGATTTCTGTTTTGGGTATTTGCATGATTCCTTTAATTGGGCTTTCCTTTTCCCTTCCCTGTTCCCCCCCCCCTTCTATATTTGTAATGCTTAATGGGTTTACTATACATGGAATGCCAGTGTCCGTTTGTCCTTTAGGCCTTATGCTGTGCAGTATATTTGTTGCTGTATCATATTTTAGTGAAATCGGTTGTCTCATTGTACCACTTATTGTTCAATAAAAAAAGCAACCCTGGTCGATAACAAAAAAAAAAAAAAAAAAAAAGCCAAACTATACTGAGAAAAATATCAAGAGTTTTATTGCTGGCCTGCAGTGGTTACCAGGACAATTGAAGGGCCACGAAAGGCAATGCAAACCTGACAGTTCCAATTACATGTGATGCCTGTACCTGTTCACTGGGCACCCTGGATGAGGATAACTTTCCCTTGTAGATATTGCCTCCATCACTAGGTCCTTAGCAAAAAACGACTGCCCAAAAGTGGTTATCCCAAAATACACCTACAGTAGGAGGAGTGGAGACTGTAAATCTCACCCTCTCAAGAGAAAAAAAAAAATCATTTTCCAACATAGGGGTTGCCCTCAGAAGTTAGAGGACCTCTGGAACTTTTGGTTATCTGTTCCTCGTCTGGTATAGATGGCTCAAATAATGCCTACTATCATAATATGATGCAGCTTAATTATCAGTACAAGGGCTAATCCGAAAGTAAACTTCAGGCATGCCAACATCCGTATGTACAGGTTCTTCTCTTTTCTCCTTAACTTTTCTCTCCAATTCCTGAAGGATAGGTCGGGATTTAGCTTATTGTTTGAGGCTTGTGTCTGACTCTTGGAGGACTATATACAATATACAGAGGAATACTACTACATTTGTAACAGATTATATGGATTGTACAGGATGGAATATAATCCTGATGGGATGTTTAAACCAAAAGAAATACATAACTTTGGCACTGTTACTACCTATGATTTGATGTACATTTACAAAACTCTACTAGAGAAATCACTGATGGCAATACAGAAGATCTGATATATTTGGTTTTTGTATTTATCTTATTTGTTGGAAAGAAAAAAAAAAAAAAAAAAAAAGGATAAAACTATTAGATTAAAAACAAAAACTGGAACGGGCATACATCTACTACATGCATCTGTTCAGAAAGCATTGTTAAAATGTTAAACCAAATAAGGAAATAATTTACCTCCAGAATAAAAGGCAACACTGGTATGAAAACTCCAGTACTCTCTGAAAGTAGAGTCAAGGCTCGTATGCAGTGCATCCTCAGCGGGAAGTAACGTATAGTTGGAACAAGTCTGAGAAAGGAAATTGAAAAAATGTCACTAGAGCATTAGACCATGAACTCCGGTACCACTTTAGTTATTATAGGCACGCCAGCACAGAAAAGAGATACTATAAAGATTAATGACAGGATAAGTTTATAATGCAAGTGCCTTACAGTTTAGAGTTTAGCAATTTAGAGTTGAACACCAGGGTGATAAACACCAATAAGTAGAGTAACTATGTATTTATTTAAAAATGACTAAATACAGCTGATGTATCTACTTGAGTCTGACTTGCTATCAGCCTCCTGTACCCCTCTGCAGTAAGGTTGACTTTCAGTGGAAAAATAGGGTAAATCAACCTGGCTGTGCCATTGCCTGGCCTTTTTTCTAAATCTCATAAATGTGTGGACAGGAATACAAACGGCAAGTAAAACTGTTCCCGTATATGCACTTCCACAGTGCATCTTGCGGTTTGTCTGGAGTTCTGCATTAAGAGGACACTCAAGTCCCTTACATATAATGCTTGTGTTTGGCTGTTTGTTGACCTGCAAAGTGCCTGAGTAGAATATGCTCCTATGAGATACTTTGCATTAGGCTAGGCAAAATACACAGCACATCAACCACTGTTTGAATACTTCAGTTTACTGGTTCAGACATCTGAAAAAAACCATGTCAAGATTCAGCCACCAAAATGCAAACCAGTGAGGTATGCCCATCGGTTTTTAAAGGACTCGTGTGAAACTGCAGCAACTAAGACATCATCTCCTTCCACCTGCTCACACCATTACAAGACCTTGATATCATCTACTTTGCTGTGAATGAAGGAGGACTCTTTGGCAGTGTAAAGAAGCTTAGCAGTGAGTTTCAACACTAAAAAAAACCCAGCACATAATTGTGCCCAACAGCACTTAACCATTACTGAAGTGCAAGTGGTGTGTGCCACCAACTCCTAAATCCTTAGAAAGAGTTGCTTCAGTCTGTAAGAAGTATATCTGTGCATCCCTTTCCAAGGAAGAAAAAAAAAGGAAACCAAGTTGATAGTGGCAAGCATAGAAAAAAAGAAAACCTTAACAAATGTAATCAACGCTTCAAAGTAATAGAAAAAAAAAAAAAACTTATTTATATTTAAAATACATTTTATTGTGTAACCTGCAAAATGACAATTTCCAGCAGCATGCTAGCTCCATGTAAGTCTATGAGCAGGCAGATATAAACAGACGTGCGTCTGTTTACCTCTGATTATCTCTGAGTCCATCAAGATTCACAAAGAAAAATGGAAAAGGTCTGTGTCCTTTTCTGTTTTTTTCAGACCTGAACATAATGCATTGGAGGTTAAAGGATGTAAACAGATATACAGTATTTTTTTGCTCCATAAGACGCACTTTATCCCCCCCCAAAAAATGGAGGGAAAGGTCTGTGCGTGTTATGGAGCAAATATGGAGCGTCCGGCCCGGTATTCACCCCATCGCCGCTGCGTTAGAATACCAGGCCGGCCGCTCGGCTCCACTGTTCATAAGAACCTGCTCCTTGGTCCAGTGGTCTCCTGCCATCTTCTCTCCCTGGCGCCGGCATCTTCAGTGTGGGCACCCAGCTGTGACAGCTTGCGCTTCATAGCCGGGTGCCCACTGCGCATGCACAAGAAGCGCTGCGCTTTGTGAATAGCCCCGTAGTCTTCTGGGACCTGTCACGTGTGTCCCCCCCCCGGTTCCCCCAAAGGTCTGCGGTCTCTGGTCATTTCCTGTACTAGGTCTGCGGTCTCTGGTCATCTCCTGTACTAGGTCTGCAGTCTCTGCTCATTTTCTGTACTATGTCTGCAGTCCATTGGTTCAGAATGTTTTTTCTTGTTTTCCTCCTCTAAAATCTAGGTGAGTCTTATGGTCAGGTGGGTCTTATGGAAAAGTACGAGCATGTCCATTTTTTTTATCCACCTGCTCATGAACCCAACATGAGCCAGGTAAACTCCACCATGAAAAAAAAAAAAAAAAACTGGACAGACAAGGATGTCACCCATAACTGGTGGGAGACAAAATAGAGTAAGCAAAAATTAACATTTCATCTCCACTTTTGGGAAATAACCCCCCCCCCCCCCAAAAAAAAGCCTATATACATACCCTTATTCCAGCAATATTCGGACCAGTCCACAGATTTCACTTGTTCTTGTTAGCTGGTAATGTCAGTGGGCAGTCCTAAGGTCTGTTTGACATTGGCTTCAGCTTGTATAGGAGCATTGTGAACAGCAAGGCATTTGCAGAGCTTTCAGCAAGCTTTGTTGAAGTTTTTAAAGTATGATTCAACTCCAGTTAGGCAATGTTGAACACAAACCCTATTGGGAGTGCTACTTGCCACTTTAAAACAAGCTGCTAGCAGGCTTCAGCAAGCTTTCAATAAGTTTCAGGAAGTGCTGAAGCCTGCTAGCAGCTTTTTTAAAATGGCAAATAGGGCTTCCATTGGGATCTGTGTTCAACATTTACAAACTGGAGCTGATTTGCACTTTAAAAGCTTCTACAAAGCTCGCTGAATGCTCTGCAAGTGCTTTGTTAAAGCTGTTCACACTGCTCTTATACAAGCTAAAGCCCGTGTGAAACAGGCCTTATTGCTGCACTGAAAGACACTAATGACCCCTTAAGCACAGTTCAGTGAAGCAGTACTGTGAGCCCAGATTAGGGGGATGACACACCCCTAGATGGTATGTTCATAACAGCCTAGGCTCACAGGCTGTGGGTTATCTGGGGCTGGTTTTCATTTAACCAATAAAAGGAGTGCTATCTAGTTTAAGAGTAGAATAGCAGCAAAAACTGCTGGTCTGCTACATAACGAAGAAAATAAAAAACAACACACATGCAACATAAAATAAACTTGCACTAATTTCTGCTGCTTAACTTAACTCTCACCTTCTTCAACTATAGACTATAGTACTTTATTAAATATAAACCCTAACTGGATGATTTGTAGTATGTTTTAACTAGTGTGTATCAAACAGCTGATGTGTTTTTCAATAAATTAGTGTTTTCACCTTTTCGTTCTGTTGCATCTTGGTACTGCTGATCTCCTACAGCAATTTTAAGTCACTCTGTTCACATCCACTCATCCAGCACCAGCAAGACCTGTTGTTCAGGGCTGGCTTCCTGATACTGACAAAAGGTGAGCAATGCCTGTGAAAGGTGCATAGGCAAAACCAATTGTAGATCCCAAGAGCACATGTGGAAGGGTGACAACACAGGAGCACTATTAGGAGACTTGACAACTCACATAGGAAGTGCCTAAACAAAGACTGTCATGGCATGATCTTTAGATATTTTAATGAAAGCTGCATATATAAAAAGATCTGAAAAAAATGAGAAAAACTAGTGATTGAGTTTAGATCTATATAAACCTATAGTTTATATAATACACCACAGCAAAACTGTTGAATAAACACATAAAACGTGGAAGTAGAATTATGATTAGAAAAGTTTAAATGTTGGGTTAACAGCAAGAAAGGTTGTAGTTAGTTGGTATTTAAAGGTGCACCCTTCCCAAAAAAATAGCTGGACATATACAGTACTAGGAGATACTAGAGATTAAGACCAGAGCAATGCTGCCACCTGCTGGTAGAAATATTATTTCCCAGGTACTTAAGTGAAACTCCAACTAAAACCTTTTAAAAAAAAAAAAAAAACACATTTTGAAAGAATTAGGTTGTTTTTTTTTACTGCAGTCTGTACTATCTGTTGTAGAAATGTCTATAAAGACCACCAGTGCTGTGAATTGAACGTGTTTATCCACTCTTTGAAGAGTCTTCTTTAATAATCCACTAGAGCAGGAGTCCTCAAACTTTTTAAACAGGGGGCCAGTTCACTGTCCCCCAGACCGTTGGACGGCTGGACTATAGTTTAAAAAAAAAAAAAAAAAAACTATGAACAAATGCGGACACAGTACAGGAGATGACCAGAGACTGCGGACATACAACGGCGGCGGGAATACTGGGCTGGCCGCTCCAAAGGAATAGTGCCCCATCGTTGGTGTCAGTGGGGGGGGGGGGGAATAGTGCCCCATCGTTGGTGTCAGTGGGGAGGAGGAATAGTGCCCCATCGTTGGTGTCAGTTGGGGGGGAGGAATAGTGCCCCATCGTTGGTGTCAGTTCGTTGGAGGGGGGGGGGGGGGGAGGAATAGTGCCCCATCGTTGGTGTCAGTGGGGGGGGGGGGGAGGATCGTTGGTGTCCCGTGGGGGGGGGGGGATAGTGCCCCATCGTTGGTGTCAGTGGGGGGGAAAAATAGTGCCCCATCGTTGGTGTCAGTGGGGGGGAGGAATAGTGCCCCATCGTTGGTGTCAGTGGGGGGGAGGAATAGTGCCCCATCGTTGGTGTCAGTGGGGGGGAGGAATAGTGCCCCATCGTTGGTGTCAGTGGGGGGGAGGAATAGTGCCCCATCGTTGGTGTCAGTGGGGGGGAGGAATAGTGCCCCATCGTTGGTGTCAGTGGGGGGGGGAATAGTGCCCCATCGTTGGTGTCAGTGGGGGGGAGGAATAGTGCCCCATCGTTGGTGTCAGTGGGGGGGAGGAATAGTGCCCCATCGTTGGTGTCAGTGGGGGGGAGGAATAGTGCCCCATCGTTGGTGTCAGTGGGGGGGAGGAATAGTGCCCCATCGTTGGTGTCAGTGGGGGGGAGGAATAGTGCCCCATCGTTGGTGTCAGTGGGGGGAGGAATAGTGCCCCATCGTTGGTGTCAGTGGGGGGGGAGGAATAGTGCCCCATCGTTGGTGTCAGTGGGGGGGAGGAATAGTGCCCCATCGTTGGTGTCAGTGGGGGGGGAGGAATAGTGCCCCATCGTTGGTGTCAGTGGGGGGGAGGAATAGTGCCCCATCGTTGGTGTCAGTGGGGGGGGGGAGGAATAGTGCCCCATCGTTGGTGTCAGTGGGGGGGGAGGAATAGTGCCCCATCGTTGGTGTCAGTGGGGGGGAGGAATAGTGCCCCATCGTTGGTGTCAGTGGGGGGAGGAATAGTGCCCCATCGTTGGTGTCAGTGGGGGGGAGGAATAGTGCCCCATCGTTGG